GAGAGAGAGAGAGAGAGAGAGAGAGAGAGAGAGAGAGAGATGAGAAAAACAAAACAAAACTTGGGAGCTTCTGGGTCAATACTGTGAATAGGCCCAGAGACAGATCTATTTGGTGCATGTCCCCTGGGGGTTCAGAGAAGAAGGACAGATGGGTGAGAATCCTGAACCTGCACCATAGCTTCTTCTCCGGGCCCTGGGCCCAGAACACCTGCTGCCTGGCTCAGTGCACTCAGTACCATCTCCCTCTGGTCCAGGCTGGCCATCCAGATGGAAGAGAACGGAATACTGAGGGATGCCCTGGGCAGTGCCCTGCGAGGGAAGGAGGAGGACTTCCGCATGTACCACCAGACGCTGGGCCAGGTGAAAGGGGTCTTCCTGCAGGCGCTACGGCAGCAGAAAGCCAACAAGCAGTAGAACACAGCTGTTAGCTCAGCTCCTGGAGGACCAACACTTGAGGTCCAGGCAGCACCCACTCGGCTCCTCCCAGAAATGGTTCGGTATCCTAGCAGAGCAGGCAAGCTGAGGATACCTAAGCAGGGGTGGCAGCCAGCCATTCCCGGCTGGTGCATTTCCTTGAGCAGGTGCTGTTGTCCTTGCCCTGGGGCCTCTCCAGGGCCCTGGGATGCTACGGGTTCTCCACACATTGATGAACACCTTGGTGCTTCCTGATGGAGTATCCACCTGGAGCCATCCAGCCTTCCCTTGTAACCCCTCCCTCAGGCCCTAGCACCCACCTAGCCATCTTTGTGTGCCCAGCCTCTCTGTGTACTTACTGCACAGGACAGAGCCATGGGCTTGGAATAACACGTCTACTTTCACAGTCACAACAGCTCTGGTGAAGTGTGTTCCTGCCCCTGCCAGGGAGACCTGGTCCTTGGTAGGTCTATAGGGCTTACGGGTGTGGGCCCAGGTCACCAAACAGAAGTTGAATCAACAGGTCATTCTGGTGGTCCTGAGTCCAGAGCTAGGGTTCCCAGCTGAGTGAATGCCCAGAACTCTGGACAGCCCCAAGGTTCCACAGCTCCACCCACGACTGCTTCCAGAGGTACAGGTGCTCAAGTCAGAAGGCAGTACAGGCAGGGCTGGGGCACAGGGTGCACGGGGGGACAGTGGGTCTTGGTGTGTGGGCAGTGTGTCTTCGTGATAATGGTGAGCCCGAGGGTGCTGTAGGAGCAGCCCAGGACCCCCTCATCTCAGTGACTGGGACAGTGTCGTCCCCTTGGCTGTAGCGCCATACAGGCATTGAACAAAGGGGTAGAGACCTGCAGCTCTATGGCTATCAACACATTCCCTCCCATGAGACAACCACGTGTGTAGCTTATGACACTGGGACAATACTCTCTCTCTGGAAAGCCTGGGTTTCCTGAAACCCTGTGTGCTTAGCCCATTCTCGGGCCACCCAGAGAGTCCTGAAATCTCACAGCCAGAGGCAGCTGAGGCCATTTTGGATGAGGTGGCGACTCCAGTACCATCCCAAGAGTCTTAGGGAGAAAGAGTGCTCCCCTGGCTTCTTGTGCAAGCAGCAGGCAGAGAGAGGACAGGAAGGCTTGTGCTGGGAGGGGACAGTGTGTGACAATAAGAAGCAGGAGAGTCGTGGACACCTTCTGTAGGCACTGGGGAGCCTGAGAGAAGTCTGTCATGTGGGGGTGCAGGCACCAGGACTCGGCAGGCAAGGACCAGCCAGCCTCCCTTAGAGGAGTGCAAGTCTGCTCTGGCCCCTCTCCTGGGCGGCTGGAGGAAGGAGCCTACCCCCCTCCTGGGTGGCTGGAGGGAGGAGCCCTGGCTTGTGCACCCTGAACCTTAGCTGGGAGCCATGCAGCTTCATCCCATCCAAAAGTAGTATGGCTCTGGGCAAATCATTTAATCTCTCCACCTCAATCTCATCTACCTTCATCTGTGAAATGGGACAGCACTAGAAACCTTGTTCAGAGGGCCATTCACAGAGTACGACACTTAGCTCAGCTGATGACTTCTGTGCAAGGAGAAGTGTCTGTAGTCTGGTTTCATCCATGCCAATGAAAGAGTGGGAAGGGAAGAGGTCCTGCTGCCAGATGCCACATTGGCCATTTGTACCCTGTGGGGTGAGCTGGCATCCTACAGAGGTTTGTCTGCATGGGCAGTCCTGACATATGCCTGCTCCTGCAGGCACTGGACTTAAAGGCCAGTGAGTATAGTTTATAATACCTCCAGGCAACCTCAAACAGTTTGCGTGGGGCTTTGTGCCAGGGCCCATCCCCCACCTCTGCTGGCTGAGGTAGACCAGATTCCCAGTGTCCCTCACTGCCCGGCACACACTGAGCTAGGACACTCAGCGTGTGTGGGGCAGCAGCCAGCACACAGTAAACACTCAGTAAATGCCCAGGCTTTGTAGTCTCCTCTCAAGTCCACACAGGCTTGCGGAGCAGCATCTGAGGTGCTGAGGTGAGGCAGACAAGCTCCCTGGGCACCAGCTAGGCAAGGTTGCAAGCTGCGTCCAGCTGACCCAAACAAACTCCATTGTTACCAGGCCCTTTCCCCATCCCCAGAGAGTCCAGGACAAGGTGGCGTCCAGTGGGAGTATCCTAAAGCAGCCTGTCTCACAGCAAATCCCCAGGAGCCCACAGCTCCCCTCCACATGCCAGGGAGCCTCTCCACGTGCAGTCTCTCCCGCTTTCCTGAGCCTCTGTATGCACACCGCTCGCCTCACACTCCTACACGACACAGCATGCATATAGCCGCCATCAGACCCAGACTCCGCCCGGCATACACTGCCATGCACATCCAGGACACTGGCCCACACTTTTACTTTAAGAAGCAACACACAAAAGGCTGAGCTGAAGAGCCCGTCTCTCCTTCTTCATAACTTTCTCATGGAGCCTTGAGGCATCAGGAAGTAGCTCTCAGTACTGTGCAGGTCTCAGCCCAGTCAGCTTCTAGTCCCTTGTTTGTTGGGCCAGTGCCCCACCCTACAGCCCCTGGCACAAGGGGAAGGGCTCACCCGGTCTCTATCCCTCTGCCTTCTTCGCACAGGCCACCTTCCTGTATGCTGCAGTGTCAGGGAGAGTGCCACTCCTGAACAGGCCCTGCCTCAGGGTCTGGTTCCTTAGCTCCTCTATGAGCTCATGCCCACAGGATGAGCCACTGGATCTCTCCCGTGCACAGAGAACCCAGCGAACAAATGAAATCAGAGGCCCAAAAACAGTGGCTTCAACTTTTCAGCCTCCTGAGGGCACCATGTTGTGTGGCACCTCTCCCGGGGCTCAAAAACATGTCTACTCACCCCAGAGGGAACTGACCAAATAAGGATACCACCAAAGTCCAACTCGGTAAAGCAGTGAGCTTTATTGGGTTTACTTACAAGAATATGGGTGAGGGGTTACAGGAGCAGAAATGACCCAATGACAGCTGTGTCACCAAAGCTCACCCCAGTACAGTGACAGCTCACAAGCTGGGAGCCTGGAGCACACTACACGGCCTGCAGGCATCTCAGCGGGTTGGAGAGTTCCCCTTTCAGGTGGCTCAGTTGACCTAAGTCCTTTCCAGGTGTCTTGGTGCTTCTCAGGGCGTCTCCACAGCCCTTACAGTTAAGTTGGGGAGGGTGGGGCCTATCTACTCAGTTTCAGGGACTCACTGAAGCTTCTGAGTTGTCTGCTTCCTTAGTCATAAGGCGCTTCCTTCCCCGAGGATGAAATGTCTCATCTCAGAGGACACTGCTACACAACACACCAAGTGCATGGCCTGCCCACGGTGGCCTCGCCTACTCTGCTGTGGTGCAGATCCTTCCAGAGGCTTCTGGAGCTGACCTCAGCTGTTCCACCTTATACCTCAGTTTTCTCTCTACCAGCTGGAGATGGTCCTTGTGGATTGTGGGACATTAAAAAGAATTACTCTGCACGTGTCCTGGCTATTGTTACTTACTACCCGTGACAACCACTAATCGTGCCTCAACACATTGCTCTGGTGTCAACGCACCTACCCAGGAAGCCAGGACCCTGCTTAACCTCTCTCTTTCTTGGACCTTAGCCTTCTCTAGTATCTGGATCCCAATCACATCAGCACACAGCCCCTCACTGCAACCCCTTGCCCAACCTTGATCAGAGTCAGAGGCCAGCATGATGGCCTCTCATTCTCACTCAGGAGAGTATGCGTGGTGCCCTCCCAGCTGCGTCCTCTGTGCCCATGGGTCTGCATTTCTGGGAGGAAGCTCATGGCCTAACTTCCCAGGGGTTTTACAGGACCCTGCTGGGTAGAGGCACACCTACCCTGTCCATCCTCAACTGAGCATAAGATGGGAGGTCCCAAGACCTTCCCTCAAGCCCCGGTACATGAGAGGAGCCACACATCCAGCCCCTCTACTGTGGGGGGTCTCATCCTAGAGGAAGACTCAACAGCAGAGATCTCCGGGGCCCCTGCCCAGCAGGGGTGTCAGTTACATAAGAATTTTACATTATGGTCTCTTTCCTGCCATTAAGAGGACACCATCCATTCCAGGTGACCCCGATGTCACCCTTCCACCCAGTCAACTCTGGGGACAAGACTTGAATCCTGGAGCTTCTAGAACCATGGTCCTTGCCAGTACCAATTCTACCAGAAATGCCAGCTCTCTCCTAACACCAACGCCTGTCTAATCCAGGCTCTTGTCAGGATTGAGACACAGGGAGGGTACTAGATAGTCCTGCCCTGGACACCCTTGAGAGGTCACAGGTAAAGGCTATGGCTGAAGTTCACAGAGCCCAGATATGCAAGACCGCATATACAGTATACGGGTGCCCAGGCAGTGGGAGCAGGGCTGACTAGAATTCTGCAGAGATTGCCTGGAGGGCTTCCTGGAAGAAGAGATCCTGCCACAGCACAAAAGGGAAGCACAGGCTTTCCAGGACTGAGGAAAGGGAGGTCAAGTGAGGCCCAGGTGCCGTTGCCTGAGCCTGTGTTCCCAGGAACCCCTTCTCCCTCTCATCACCCCCACATCCTCCCTGCCACTCCCCGCAGCTCCCTGTGGCCAACAGTACTGCAGCACTCGGCTCTGCTCCACAAACGGTCTGCTCCACTCCAGGAAGGCCACCTCCTCCTTCCCCCCCTCCTCCGGCTGTCACCACTCACCGCTCTAGTCTCCAGGGGGTGGGGACCCCAGAGCTGGACACACCCCACCATAGCCCCACAGCTCAGCCAGCCGGACAGACTCACAGTCGGACGCAGGACCCCGGAGCCCTGAGGTGGGCAGTGTGCCAGGGTCCCTCGCAGCCTCTTCAAGGTCAGTACAAGTTGGGTGTACAGCCCTTCTGGAGCCCTTGAGCCTGTGGGTCTCAGCCCAGAGCCCTCACCCAGGCTACGAACCCCAAGGTGGGCTTCACTCCAGGTGCACCTGAGCCAAGTGCTGGGCAAAGGGCACCCTGGGTCCACAGTCAGCATAGGTCCAGGGGTCTGTCAGGAGGGGG